ACTTGAGCTTCATTGACACTTGACTACAGTCTTCCCACATAATGAAGGCCACTGGCCATTCTATTTAAGGGTGTGATTCACAGTTTGCTATGAGAGACGAGACACAATTGAGGGAACTATTCACGCTCTCTAGTCAGTGGACTTTGCAGGTGTTGTTTTTTTGTGTGTATCAAAAGGATTCAAATGAGATGGTTGCAGTGTCTGCCCTCTAGTGTGTAAAGCTTTGAGAGATAATTTGGGGAGCATGTTTTATCTCATGCATCTCCTTCAAGGCATTTGCCATTAATTCCATGAAATTACTTTTCACCATTTTGCCATTACCTAAATCAAACAGCCCAAAGCAGGGACACATACCTATGAGTCATGTCTGGTCACGCATTTATGAGAACTTAGCACCCGCGCTGACCATAGGGTGCATGGTTGTAACCAGCCATTGTATGTGTATTAGTATTTATATAGTATTTATGACTGCAGACCATTTCTTTCCACGTGTCCCATGGCCCATCCAGGAGATATACATTTGAACAGGGCTTTTGAATAATGAATACCTACCTGGGCAAACATGACCTTTCTCATTCTCAACACCTGACATTCTTAAGTTTCGAACAATTTTTATTTAAAAAAGTGAAAATGTTTAGGGAATGTTCTGCAATCTAGATGGCATACCAGTGGGGCAGAATAAAGATAAAAGCACCAAGTTTGTTACATATATAGCTTGATATATTTATTCATGGTGTACATTACGGGAAATAAATCAATGCTGACTTCTCGCATGGGGAATGATAAGTGGTCTTCTGGCTGAAAGGTCGCTCTTTGTTGGTAAAGGCTCCGCAGTCCTATATGTGGTCCGCAGCGGGCAGACAGCAGCAGCTCATTGACTGCAGTTCACTTTGGCTGCTGCTAACTCCTACGATGAACCACCATCGTAGGACTGATGTTAACCGCAAAGTTACCTTGCTAACCCCAAATCCTGCATTGTAGTTCAGAGCCCTGGTGAATGTGTCAAAATCCAGGCTCTGGGACAAACACCTCAAAATCGATAGGCCTTTGAATGCGCGTTCAAATTCAACCTCCAACTCTCCATCTCTGATCACATTCAGCAGGGTGTCACGATCAGGCTTTGCCCTGTGTGTTCTGTGTCTTTGTTTCTTTCTGTAGCTCCTCACTCTCCTAATCAGTTCATTCAGTGCACCTGCCAGTCACACTCACCTCATCAGCTCATTACTCTCACCTGCTCACTCTGCCTCCTTCACTATTTAAACCCCTGCCGCACACACACCTACTGCCAGATCATTGTTTGTTTTCCTCCCTACCCGCCTGTTTTGCTCGTCCTGTTCCCGGTTTTCCAGTCTGCCTGTTCTGCCTTTTCCTGCCGGATTTTCCCCCTCGTCTTTTGTCTTGTCCCTGGATTCCCTGTTTGTTTTTGGTTATCATTAAAACCTTTTTCACTACAGCTGACTGTCTGTGTTTGAGTCCTCACCATGCCCTGTGACACAGGGAGAAACTTTTAAACAACCGACAATCCACTAGTCAAACTTTTGTGCCATTTTTCATTGAACCGGAAAGTTTTACAGAGCTTTTAGTTGGAGGCGTAGCGGCTCTCCACGGGATTTGCCGGAGACGTCGAAGTGCGCTGCCGTGAATTCATCTGGCGAATGTCTGCTCTCTGGCCAACAAGGTAGATGTACTGCTGCTCCTCAACCATGCAAACAGACTTTAGCAGATTCGCCGCCCTTTGTTTCACTAAAACCTGGCTTTGTGAGCACATCCCGGACAGCACACTACATCTGCCGGGCTTCCAACTCCTCCGAGTGGACCGCGTAATGCCACTATCGGGAAAAACTAGGGGAGGCAGAATCTGCTTACTACATTAACGAAGGTTGGTGTACTGATGTCAAATTGTTGAAGAAATCATGCAGCCCTCCCTTAGAAACCCATTTCATAAACTGCAAACCATTTTATTCAACGCAGAAGTTCTCCCCATACATTCTGGCCGGTGTTTACATCCCACCTCAGGCCTGTGTGAGTTAGGCGCTCCAACACCTGGCTGAGCAGATCACCAACATGGAGCACAAACATCCAGACTCCCTGCTCATTGTTCTTGGGGACTTCAACAGAGCAAACCTCAGCAAAGAACTGCCAAAACACAGACAGCATATTAAGTGTAGCACCAGGGACAAAAACACACTGGACAGCTGCTACACTGTAATAAAGGATGCATATCGCTCAGTACCCCGTGCAGCTTTGGGACTCTGATCATTTTCTGGTTCATCTTTTCCCGACCTACGGGCAGAAACTACAATCTGTGAACACTGTGAGGAGATGGACCAATGATACAAAGCTGGAGTTACAGTCCTGCTTTGTCTGCTCTGATTGGAGTGTTTTTGAGGCTGCTGCTACAGACCTGGATGAGCTCACCGACACTGTGACATCATACATCAGTTTATGTGTGTGCCGACTAAAACCTTCTGCACATACAACTATAAACCCTGGTTTACTGCAAAACTCAGGCAGCTTCGTCGGGCTAAGAAGGAGGCCTACAGAAGTGGGGACAGGATCCTGTACAACCAGGCCAGGAACACACTGACAAAGGACATCAAGGTAGCACAGAGGAGCTACACTGAAAACTTGGAAATGTTTTCAGCCAACGACCCTGCATCAACTACAGGACACCATCCCCCCACACTGAGGAGAATCACCATCTGGCTGACAACCTGGATGTCTTCTACTGCAAGTTTGATAAGCCCACTTTCACACACCCCAACTGCTCTGACATCAAACAAGTTGACATCAAACTTGGAGACCTTCAGGTTTCTGGGATCCACAATCTCCCAGGACCTGAAGTGGGCCACCAACATTGACACCATCTCGAAAAAAGGCCCAGCAGAAGTTGTACTTCCTGTGCCAGCTCAGGAAGTTCAACCTGCCTCAGGAGCTGCTGATTCTGTTGTACTGTTAGGGCCATAACTTTTGGACACAGGGGGAAATCGCCCCCCCCCCCCCCCCCCCTCTTGCAGCCATGTGCTCTCAATCGCCTCCAAAACACAACAGCAGGTTTAAGTCAAAATCAAATGGATTTATTATTCAAGAAGCATAACAACAGTTACAAACCGAATCACACCACTAATAACAAAACAAACATAAATTCCATGAAATGTGAGATCCAATCCGAGCCACCCAGGAGGCTGGTCTGCCTCCTCGGTCGCCCGCAGAAGATCTGAAATCCCCCAGAGCTTCAAACCCTTTGTCCCCCCCCAAAGTTACATTTCTCAGCTCATCGATCAGCTCATTGATTGGCTGAAGTCCAACAAGCCCCTCCTGGGCCGTTGATCTTCACACCTCACCCAGCCACTTTCACACAACCCACCCCCCCCCTCCAGCACATTCCTCTAACCTCAAACACACTACTTGGTTCGAACTCCTACAAGTAAATACACTGTATCACATAATATCCATAATTAGGAGCTTTAAAACTTAAATTTATCACAGTACTCCACTATCATCCAGTCTGTTCTCTCCATCACTGTGTGGTTTGGCTGTTTTCTAAACAGGACAGAAACAGACCACAACAAACTGTCAGGTCTGCAGACAGAATCATTGGTGCCAGCCTGCCCTCCATCCTGGACTTGTACACCTCCAGATTCAGGAAATGGGCAGGAAAGATCACTGCAGACCCATCACACCCTGGACACAACCTGTTCCAACTCCTCCCCTCTGGTAGGCGCTACAGGGCACTGTACGCCAAAACCACCAGACACAGGAACAGATTCTTTCCACTGACCATCACTCTGATGAACAATTAATCAGTCATACTGCACTATTACCTCTGTTTGTACTATTACCACCATTCTGCACTAATGAACAATTAAAAACTACCACCTCTGGCCAATCTTAACTAAAACTGCTAATGATCAAAAACAAACGTAGATGTTCACATAGGATGCATCTGGCTCACAATCTTTAGTAATTATTTTGGCGTCTGGTTTGTTTTCTCCACGTACTGCAGGACAACACAATTACATTCTACTTTTAACCATAAATATGATAGAAATGATTTTGATACAAGATAAAAAATATGCATCCCACGCTTTTGCCTTTCCTTCCCTCTCTTCATGCTTTTCTCCCGCAGTTTTAAGTCCCCCGATCCTCTCCCCACACAATCAAATTTCAGAATCCATCCACTGTAATTATTACAAATAGTCTAGTGTTGTTTGTGATAGTGTTTTTAAATTACATCGTATATATATTTGTCAGTTTTTTTCCAAACAGATAGCGATTGGACAAGCAAGCAAACACACACACACACACACACACACACACGCACACCTATAACCAGCAGTCTGTTAGGTAAATTCATGATATATGGACTTTGTATTTTATTTCGATCAAACATTTTCTTTATATCCTGGATGAATAAAGCAACCTACCACACAAAGGTTTAGCTATGAAGACTAATGAGTAAAATACCATCAACTATTTTCATGCTGGACACATCTTGAACTGCTTTCATGGGATGAAAATAAAATCGTTTCAGTGAATTCCACACCTAATTATTGTCTCTAATGCAAGACGAAATGGGATTTATTAAATGGGCACTTCTTTTATTAATGAAATATGGTGAAGGAGTTGATGAAGGTGGGGGAGGGAAGTATTTGATTATTTATAATGATATGCTTCTTGGACCGAGTGAATCAGGTCAATTGGATTTGTTTTGTCTGGAGGTTGCATGATCACTGGAGGTTGCTTTTTTTTTAAAAATATTATACTATATTAATCCCTTTAAGGGGGAAATTTGTCTCTCCATTTGACCCATCCCTGTATATAGGGAGCAGTGGGCTGCCAATGACAGGCGCCCGGGGAGCCTGGGGTTCAGTGTATTGCTCAGGTACACTTCGATACGTGACATGTCCCTGTCGAGGATCGAACCGTTGACCGTTGTTCCGGTTCCCAGACAACGCTCTTAACCCAGTGAGCCACGGTCGCCTTTTTTTTTTTTTTTTTTAAAAATGCAGTCGAGATTCCCACATTTGGGGAATTCGCAGTGGTCAGAACAACCGGAGTGCAATGGCTGGGCCTCGCCCTGGGTGAACCACCTTCTTGATCATGGCATCTCCCCTGCCAGGTTGTTGTGAACTTAACTGTTACTCATATTAAATAATATAGTTATGAATTATTGAATGAAATAATCTTAATTCAAGGTCGACTTGCTACCACTACTACATTTCATGGTATTCCTCAGCGAATGGAGTTTGCTCCATTGTCATCAGGGGACCTCAGAATGGAACCTCAGTCACGTGATAACAGGTGGATGTACATAGGTGGAGATGTTGACCCTTCCCCGTCTCAAGACAATCTCTTGGACTCTTTGTCTCTAAACCCTGCATGTACAGAGCTTTAATCTAGTTACTAACATTAGACTGCCACAGAGGTGAGAAAATGTTTCCTGGCATTGATGTCCACTGTGGTGTGTTGCATTACATAGACTCTTGTTCATGCATTCATGCGAGATGGTAAATGGAGTTGCCTTTAGATAGCGCCTTTCTAGTCTTCCCACCACTCAAAGTACATTCATACACTGATCAGTGTCTTGCTCATGGACACCTCGACATGCAGACTGGAGGAGCCGGGGGATCGAACCGCCGATTTGTGGACGACTCCTGAGCCACAGCCAATCAACAATGGTGCCAATTCACTAATATACACATGCATGCAGATCAATAAATGCAAACGCACAAGAGGCTGCAGTTCTTGCTGCTGTCTCCTAATCCAGATAGATTTTTTATGCAGTGGAGAATAGAAGAGTAAAATGAGTCAGTACTGTAAATATGCAACACAGTCTTACAGCAGTTTCTGAAACAATCACGAAAGGCAATCTACTGGTTTAGTGTACAAGGACATGAATTGTCCATCTTTTTCTTATCTTTGTAAGTTACAAAACGAAAGTTAGGTTAAACATAACCACGTACAGCTGGGTTTAGGCAACAAAACCACTTACTTAGGTGTAGGAATACTGTTACAAACGGTAGGTTTAGGCAACAAAACAACAACACTCGGTGTTGGATATGCGTTGACGAACACCGGTCTTGTGATTGAAAGTCTTGTTACCTGCCCTCCCACTCACTGTAAGTGGTATTTTTTGCTATGAAATACTACATCACTTGCTTTGTCATGTGGATGTGTTTGATTTGTGTGTCCTGCATGAAAAAGGATCCTGATTGACTTTATTGGCTTTGTTTTTGTCCTTTTTGTCCTAATTAAAAACAACAGACAATTTGTGTCCATGTACACGAAACCAATTGATTGCATTTCGTGACTATTTCACCATGCCATGATGGTGGGCTGAAATATGAGGCTGCAGCCTTTTAGTGGTTGGGCTCAGCTGCAGAGGGGACAGAGTGGGGGAGTGGTTCAGGGAACGGTGCCGAGAAGAGGCTTAATTAGCCTCAGCTGAAGCCAATCTTTGATTGTGTCTCTCTCTCCCATATAAACGCTAGTAGGGATGGAGGAGCGAGAGGGAAATGCGGGCAGGAGACACAGGCTGGGGGTGGACGGAGAGGACAACAGACCCTCCCGAGAGAATCATACACGGCGGGTGCGCTCGGAGGCGCTGCAGGAGAGCGCACGGCCGCGACCAGCCTAAACTATAATTATAAATAAAGAATGTTAAGCAGCACTATTTGTGTGTACTAGTGTCATTGTGCTAGGAGAGCCCACGGTGGTAACAGGAACGTGTTACAGACCTTTAAACTCTCTTAGCCTGTTTGCGTGGGGTCTCAGCGCTGCACTTAAATGTCTGGGGAATGACTCCGTTTTCTTCTAACAGAAACTCTTGCCTGGCCTTATGAGCACTTTTGTGGTTACAATACTTTACCAATTTTTCTCATACAATGTCAATAACTATTATCAACAAAACATGAAACATAATATAATAATCACATCTCTCAGTGAGAGTGGTCTATGTCAGAAAGTAAGGAGGCACTAAACAGTTAGATACCTAGAGCACATCTGTCCAGCTGACTAAGACACAATGAGTATTGATCTTTGAAAGGCAGAAACCTTACAAAGTGATCACTGGTATTTATCATCTTACATTATGACCCTATGTCATTTATATGATCTATTCTCTGGACCAGAAGGTATAACTTGAGCTAATGAGGACCCAAACAATGAAATTAAATGAAATTGGTATTGATCAGCAACCCCATCAACACCCACACATTGTGTCAGGTGGTGGTTTGGGGCATTACAACATTTATTAATTGGACCTTTAACAACTGGGATCTCACCAAGGATACACAATTGAACTGTCAAAATTGTGACAGTTATTTATTGTTTCATGAATACATTTTTTTTTTTTAAGATGCTACACTTAATGAAAAAGTTGGACAAAAGTTTGTCGAGCTCATAGCAAATACAAAAAGTACAGTGTGTAGCATTTCTGGAGAACTTTTAGCAGAAATGGAATATATTCATAACTATGTTTTCATTAGTGTATAATCACCTGAAACAAAGAATTTGTGATTTTGTGAGCTTAGAATGAATCCTTCACATCTACCAAGGGAGCCTTTTCACAGAGTCCTCCATGTTTCTACAGTAGCACAGAACGGTCAAATCAAACACTGGCTGTAGAGAGAGACTTTTGTATTTCTACGTTACTTGAGGGCCACCGTAGTTCACGGACACGTGTGTAAAATTGTGGTAACATGAGTGTAAAACACGTGGTACCGTCAGCTGTCATCTGACTTATGTTGCTCCTTAAGTGTTGTTATGGTATGGATGGCCTCTGAGCGAGGAGAACGCCGTTACGCATTTTTTGCACTAGGTGGCTCTCGTTAGCGCAGTCTTGGAAATGAAAGGGTTACTATCTGCAACTACCCAGCTATATACCACCAAATCCCACACACTGCTCCAAAACACTAAAACTCCACACCCTCATTTCATTACTCTCCTTCAATAACGACTGCTGCCTTTTTGGCTGGGTCACCATTGTAAATTAGATCTGCTTCTCAATTGACTTATCTGGTTAAATAAAGGTAAAGTAAAATAATACTTTTTAAAAAATCAGTATTAGTATCTTCAGAAAATTTCTACCATCAGATAAAAGTAGGAAAACTAATGTGCTCCTTCCTTATCTTGCATTTTCTCCTGCTAACTGCTCTTTTTTCCAGAAAACCCAGAGGGCAAACTTCGCTGAAGTGTGTGTTGACACAAGAAGACAATGTAGACAGACCCGTAGGAGTTGGATTAAACCACCAACCCTGTAAGGAGTGGACGAGCCGCTCCTCCTGCTGACTTATAAGTCAGTTTAGAGCTGGTGCCTTTGAGAAAACTTTAAACTGTACTCTGTTGTTGTGCATCAGAGCCACACTAAACAGAGCAGCTACTGACATATTCTCCGTCAAGAGACCAGCAAGACAATTAGGCAGATATGTAATAAAAGTCAAGGACTTAGTAAACCTTGTCCAGAAAGAAAGCTGCTATGACATGTTCTGGAACACAAACATTGTTGTCGGACAGAGAAAGTAATAGAAATGTGCAGCGGGACAAGTAATAAATCAGTAATCTCTTGGAGACGCTAGATAATTAGTCAGCGCTGGTGATGGTGAGTGTCAGCTAGGGAGGGAGCAGGATGAGAGAGAGGAAATAATTATCTCATTAGTGTATTTCCATTATGCCAGACGCTGGTTACTTCTCCTCCCACCATTATGATTAGGTCTCTGCTCAACGGGCTCTGGGAAAGAGAATATCATCCATACACTTTGTGTCAGCTGTTAACACCCATTACCTCAGTGATGGAATTCAATTGGCAATAACAAATGTGGGAAATCTAATTATTCTGCTGAGAATATTTGCATTTGTAACAGTAGCAGTGTAGTAGTAGTGTGTGCTAATGTGGTTTCTGAGGGCCTATGATGATTCATTTTGGATGGGAGCTCCATAGGCTTTTCCCAAAATATAACTTAAAGTCCACTTACTAGCTTTTTCTGGGACTTGGCCAACATCACCCCAACTTGTCACATACTGACGCCTGGCGTCGCTTTCTAACACGCTGGGCTACCCAGTGACGGCAAACTATGATGCTCCACTACTGTTGCAGAAAACACGTGGTTAGCGTTGTGAATTCAAACAAGAACACTTGCTGAGGTTTATGCAACAAAAAAAAAGGTAATTTCACTGTCTTCTTGTGTGGATACACACATTGGAGAAGTTTGCCTTCAGGGGCTTTTCTGCTAGAAAGGCAGCTACGTCGGAACGCAACCGTCCAGTCGCAGCGGAGTGTTTTCATAAAAATGCTCGACATCACAGACCCAAAAGAGCTACAGCTCCATGAGAGGCCAGAGAAATGTGATCCAGACCCAATGTAGTCCTCAGTGATTGATTTGTGGACTGCTAAGTAACCCAAATCATACGCAACCCACTATGTGATTGCGTGTTAAACACTTGCATGCTGGTTATGGACGAAATGCTGGCAGTAATCCAGCGGTCACTGCTATCGTCAGTTAGTCAGGTGTGGCTTTACGGCTGTTTTTTCTGTCACTAGCAAATGCTGAGTGCTCAAAAAGCTCAAAACTCGTTGAATTGCTAAGGGACACAGGAGGCTGAGTGGACTGATGATATTTGCTCTGACGATAAGAAAATAAGTTTAGTCTCTGCTCAAGACTTAGGAGAACTGTATTGTCTATACAATGTCTAACAATGGGAATGACATTTCTCTGGGGCCAGTGGTGTTTAGGCAACAAGAAGACAACTTGAGCCGGTGTAAAGAGTCTGCACAAAAGTGTAGACTATAAACATTAATCAATGAGCATACAGTGACCAGACATCCCATCTGGCTTTTCGGTCTTTGACAACTTCTTCACCAGTATCCCTCAGAAGCTCCTTAAGAACCTGACCATTGTGGGGACTCTTCGCCAGAACAAGCCAGACAATACCGCCTGTCATGAAGCCATCCAAATCGAGGGAGAAGCATGGCTCCGAATTTGGATTCAGTGGCAACATGACCATGGTGAGCTATGTGCCGAAAAAGGGGAAGGCTGTTGTCCTCTTGAGCACCATGCATGACGACAGAGCAGTGGATGACAACAGTGTGAAGAAGAAACCAGAAGTGATCCAGTACTATAACCAAACAA